TAAAGACCTCATACTCTAATAACTAGAGTGAGGCACAGAGATTTACATAAAGACCTCATACTCTAATAACTAGAGTGAGGCACAGAGATTTACATGGTAGAAAATTGGAAATACCTCCATGTCCATTTCTAGGGAACTGATCAAATCTTGGTACATCCAAGTACGTGTGTACAAAACTCATCTAGAGGGAACCTTAATGACATGTTCTAGAGTGTTCTACAGAGTAGGCTATAAAATGCAATGTATAGTGTGATTCCCCCAATGTTTTCAAATATATGTGGCTCTTCTTTATATGTATGATTCTCTTTTCTCACTAGGCTTATTATCCACCAGCAGAGCTCTTAAGCATCTCTATAGCAGTAACTTCTAATTTCCCGTCTTTCTTCCCCATAGCATCCCCCATCTCTGAGTTCCAGCCCCCTACCTCCATGTACCTACTCGGTGTCTCCCCTTATAGGGCTCACAGGCGTCTCCAAGTTGGTGTGGTCAAAAAGAACTCTGAATCTTCACCCCCCGCCATCATGCCCCCAAATATTCCTCCTCTGTTCATCTCAGTAAGCCACACTTCCGATTAGTCGTGTCAGAAAGCTCACTTCCCCACCAGATACCAGGTCCTGTTGATTGAACCTCCAAGTAACCTCTAGAATCTACACCACCGCCTCCTTTCTCCACTGATCATCTTCTCACACCTGACCAGCAGGAGCCCCACAACTTGCCCACTTCTGGGCCCTGCTCAACCCAGATGCAGAGTCCTCTTTGAAAATGCAGATCTGATCTTTCAAGACCTGCAACCAAGTTGCAGATGTGATCTGGCCCCTGCCCAGCGTACTCCAGCCTGTGGCTCTTTTGGTTCTTGCATCTCTTCATACTCTTCCTTCCCCGGAGCCTTCACACACACTGTTACCCTCAACCCATCTAGATAACACCTCTTCTTCCTTGGAGTTCATCTAAAATGTTGCTTCCTGATCCCCAGCCTTGGTCAGACCCTGGTAAGTCACTCCAGCACCCTGCCTTCTCCCTGGGAGCCCGGAGCACCCTTGTAGTTCCTTGGGTGATGTAGGCAGTTTGCTGCGGCTCCCAGCAGACTGTTGGCTTCTTGGGGGCAGAGACTGTGGCGGACTTGTTCACGGCTGCATCTACAGCACCTAGCCAGGGCTAGATATTTATCGGTAACTTTAGAGGAAAGACAAAAGGGGTTCTTTAAACTGCTGATAGTGGTTTCCTGGGTGTGAAATTATGGGTGATTTATTTTGTTCTTTGTATTTTCTTTACTGTTTTGTCTTCAGTGACCGAGGCAAAAACTGGCATTTTATCAAGAGACATCTGTGCTGGGGCCCAGAGCAGGGTCTTCCTTGCGGGATGCACCTGGCCTCACCTGTCCTCCTGCCTCTGTCCCCACAGGCCTGAGGAGCGATGCAACAGGCGTGATGGAGGTTGAGTCCTCCTACTCGGACTTCATTTCCTGTGAGCGAACGGGCCGTCGGAACGCGGTCCCGGACATCCAGGGGGGCTCTGAGGCTGTGAGCGTGAGGACGCTGGCTGGAGACATGGGCGAGCTGACACTCGAGGGCACAGGTTAGAACGCATGGGTCCTCATTCCTGCACACGAGTCCCTCTTCTGGGCTCCGGGGCCGCGCTCCAAGTCCTAGACTGCCCACTTTAAACCACGCCCCGGTCTCATGGTCAATGGCCAAGTAGCCAACCAGTTTCTAGGCTGGAGGGCGCTAGTGTGTCAGGCCCTGAGGACTCTCTGGCCGGGCATCCCAGCCTCCTCCCTTTCCTCATCGCCCCCTCCATCCGGTCAGTCCTGTCAGTTCTCTTCCCAGACACATCCCAGGTCCCTCTACTTCCCTGTCCCCACCTGCCAGCCAGCGGCCAGCAGGACCCACTCAGACTGTCCCGTCCCAGCACATCTCGGCCTCAAGCCCCCTGTCACACTCACAGTGAAGCAGTTGTCACAGCGCCCTCCTGGGTGACCAGGCCCTGCCCTGCCTCTCAGATCTCAGCAGGGGCACCTCTGCCCTCACCTGCTGTCCTCCAGCCACACCCATCACCGATCTGTTTCTGTCAAGGCACAGGCCTGCCCTGTCCAGAGCCTCCTGTCACGGTTTCCTCTGCTAGAACCTTCCCACCCAGTCCTATGGCTGAATTCCTACCAGGTGCTCAGAGGGGCCTGCCCGGACACTGAATGATAAGGTTTCATGTGTTTGAATGTGAGCTCTAGGAGAGCGAGTGCTTGGAACCCATAGGCTGCAGGAGTGAATGGATGGGGGAAATAGCCGCCGCCCACTCCCGTAGTGCCTGGGGCGTCCATCCTTCCCTTCCTGTCCAAATAGACTCTCCTCTGCTCAGTTCACTGGTCAGCCCTGGGGCCTTGCTCTGCGCAGCCTTCCCTCACCGTCCTGCACTGGGCAGAGCCCTCTCCTCCCTGTCCCCATAGCTCCTTGGAGGCAGTGTTTGTGTCACATCCCCTCCCATGGCAGACTGCAACTATAGGGCTCCATGGGTCTCCCACAGAGCTGTGCTGGAGGGCCACCATCTTATTTTCCCTCAGGTAGTCTCCAGTCTAGAGCCCTTGGTGCTCGTTAGCCAGTGACCACGGAGTAGAGAGCAGACTGCGGACATGGACTCAACCCACTCCTGTTATAGATGGACCAACAGGCCCAAGAAGCTGGGTGGCCTGCTCAGGGTCACCAGCAAGTTAACATAGAACAGCACACCCCACACCCCTTCCCTGCTCTAGTGGTCTGTCAGCCCTCCCTGTCCTGTGTCCCACACTCCTCACAGCTAACTGCAGCCTGCTGCCTCTGACCCAGCCAGAGGAAAGCACATCTGTTTCTCAACCCCCGATGGACCTTAACACGCTGGTTCTTCCTACCTCCCCTCCCAGCCACCTCCACAACCCCACTTAGCCCAGCACCCCTCTAGGCTGTGGGCTTCCTCCACCTGGGTCTTCGTCTTATGCACGTGGTACATGGCATTTGGCAGGTGGGAAAGGTTGCCTAGTCCAGGGCTGTTCACTGACCAGCATGCCTCACTCCCACACGGGGCATGCAGCCAGAGGGCTTGCTCAGAGCTGCTGCATCCTTATCCTTGGCTCTGGGAAACTTTTCTGTCCTCCTCTACCTCAGCAGTAGTAGCCACTCATCGGTGGGCCCAGGCCCTTTGAATACCTGTTTTCTCCAATTTGGAATCCCTGAAGTGTCTGGGTCCTCTGGGTCTAGGACATTTGCCTACCGGGGTGACAGACATTTAAAAAGGGGACCTGAGGAAGGAACAGTGTTCACTGCAAGGAAGTAGAGCACTCATGGTAGAGTTGTAGGCTGGCCTGGCCAGGGAACCTTCCAGTGGGCGCTGCAATAAGCAGTTTCCACAGGCAGGCCTGGGGGCTGTGCTCAGTCTCCCAGACTCACTGAGGGAGTGGGCCTACAGAGATTCTGACCAGCAGGCCCGGCTGAGAATCTGCTTAAAAAGCCCGGGAGATGGAGACCTAGCAGGATGGATGGGGAGGCAGGGCCTTGGCCTGTCCTGAAGGCCTGGCCGCCTGGCCCTCCGGTGCTTGTTAATGCTCCCTTAGCATATCCTACCTTTCCTGATACCTCCATATGTGGGGAGCACAGATGTTCCTTTACTTTGCCTAATAATAAGAGTACACTGCCCAGCAGTATGTTCCCAGGAAGCATTTCAAGTTGTGCCCTGAAACTGGCCCCAAGGGGGTCCCAAGGGTAGTGGTTGGTGAACAAAGTGCTTAAGAACCTTCTCCCCTGGAGCGCCTGGGTGGCTCAGTAGGTCAAGTATTCGACTCTTGATTTCAGCTCAGGTCATGGGGTCGTGAGATCGAATCTCACATCGGGCTCCACACTGGGTGTGGAGTCTGCTTAAGATTCTCTGTCCCTGGGGCGCCTGGGTGGCTCAGTCATTAAGTGTCTGCCTTCAGCTCAGGTCATGATCCCAGGGTCCTGGGATCGAGCCCCGCATTGGGCTCCCTGCTCGACAGGAAGCCTGCTTCTTCTCCCTCTCCCACTCCCCCTGCTTGTGTTCCTGCTCTCACTCTCTCTCAAAATCTATTAAAAAAAAAAAGATTCTCTGTCCCTCTTCCCCCTCCTTTCCCGCTCACTCTCTCTTAAAAAAAAAAAAAAAAAAACACAAAGCAAAACAACTTTCTCCCCCAGCCAAGAGAGAGCTGGGACTGGCAGAGAGGAATTGTTACCATTGGCAAAGACCTTCCCACATGCCAGATGACCACCTGTGGGCCCTACACTCCCATCACATACAGGTGGAGGTGTGCAAAGGCTCAGAGAGATGAAATAAATTGCCTGAGGTCCCACAGTAAGGACATGGCAGAGCAGAAATTACTAGGGAATCTGATGAGAATGTTCCTGCTTGCTCAGGGTCAAATAGAGCATCACAAGCTGGGAAATTTGCTCAAAGTGCAGACTAGTTTGTCAGGCTTCTGGAGGTCCAGAAGGATCCTCTGGGCCCAAGCTTCTGCTACAGGTACCACCCCAGGATAGGGGGTAGTGGTGGGGGAGAGCGCCAGATGTCCAAGTTCTGGCCATACCACTCGCTGCTACCACCACCCCCCCCCCTCAGATTGCTACATGGGCAGAATGAGGCCATGTCGAGGACAGCTGGCCTTCATAAACCCTGGAGCGTGCTGCTTTATGGCAGAACTTAAATTCGGTGGAAAGACATTGGCTCTGTCCCCCGCCCGTCTGAGCCTACTGTTTTCATTCGGGTCATGACCCTAGTCACTCCAGGCTGTGTGGATTGCATGGCAAAGTGCCTGCCAGTCCGCAGCCTCTGGAGCTCCGGACAGGGCGGGGTCGTCCTCCTTAGTGAAGGGCTCTAAGGATGCAAAGATCGAGCCCCTATCCGGGTGAGGCTAGTCTGTTAAGGACACAGCAGAGTAAAACAGCTGTGGGCTCTGCCCCCGCCACACCCTGGTGCTCCTGAGCGCCTGTTCCGTGCTGGGACTGCATGCTTGCCCTCCTTCTGGAGAACCTGCACAAACTTCCTGACCCTCAGCGGCCCTTCACCCCTTCACCGGAGCCTCGTAGCCGTCCTCTTCTGTGACCCTGGCCTTTCATTGACCTTAATTATACTAGTAGCACCGCATGCGTTTTCTTTGTAAACATTGTTAGAGGCTGGGTTAAAGGTCCCTTTGTCCACTGCCACCCCTAGTCCAGCTCGTGTCCTACGCCCCAAGGCTCATCCACTATTACCATTTTGGGCCCTTCCAGATAGCCTTCTGTGCTTTACGTTTGTGGATGTGCTCCTTTTCTCTCCTCTCCAGAAGGACAGACAGAGGGGGGCACCCCCGACAAGGAAGCTAGCAACCAGCCTGAGAGCAGCGATGGGACCACCTCGTCTTGAGTCTGACCTTGCCCATGGAGGATGGAAAAGAGACCTGCTGTCCTCACCTGGACAGGGAGCCCTGGCACTGGCCTCACAGCCTCTTCTCTGAGCCCCTGTCCCAGACAAGCCAGGCCCGAGTGAAAAGGCACCCCTCAGAGGCCACCGTGGCCCGTACCCTGGAAAAGCCCTCCGCCTGCACCCTCAGGCTCCACTTGCCCACCACCTCTTCACTGTGCCCAGGTACACTTCCAAGACCCTGTAGCTGTGGGGCATTATTTATTCAGCGGGCGCCTGAGTGAGCAGCCCCTGCAAGAATGCACCTCCACAGGTGGCCTGGGCAGCAACCACAGCCCAGCTCTGCCCCCCCCCCTTCTCCAAGCCCAACCTTCTGGGTCAAGATCTTCATATCCCTTTTTTTAAAAACACTTTTAAACTTTTTAAAAACTTTAAACTTTTTTTCCAGGAGAGAGGGAGGGAGCTGTGTTTTTGTTTTTTTGGGTCTTTTTTGGAAGGCATTATAAGTTAAACTGACCATCTATGCAGCTCTGCGTCCCCTCATGGAGCTCTACAGATCCATTTCTAGGGAAGGGGTTTTGTGCTCAAAACTGTCTGATCAACTCTGCCCTTTCTACCAAGATAAGTGACACCTAGGACCCAGGAAATAAATGCAAATGATTTGTGTGACTGGTTTACGATTATTTCTCCTTTAAACAGCAAAAGCAGGGGTGGGCCTGGTTTCCCCAAGTCCACAGTTAGCTGGGACCCATCACTGCCCTGGGCTTCTGAGCAAGGAAGTTCCTGAGAAGAGGCCGGTCTTCACAGAGGCTGGCACCCTCTTTGGCCCGGTGCCTGACGAGTCTTCCATCTGTCCCTCTTGCCTACCCTAGTCCACAGCTCACCCAGGTGGGCAGGCCCAGCCCTTAAAACCTACAGGGGGAGGGGGCTAAGAGGGAGCATTTAAGCAGATTCATTCAAGAGAAGCCTTGTTTCTTCTGGAGGGAAGGCAGACTGTGGTCCCGTCTTTGCCCCCAGGGTTAGAAGCTCTAGCTTCCTCCTCACAGCCCCCACCCAGGATCTCAGGACCCTGCTGCTGAGCAGGCTGCCCAAGTCTGGGAGCCCAGAGGCTCCTTCCGTTCCCACTCCGCCCAAGACCATGGCGCTGCATAGTACCAGCCATTGGCTTCTTTATTGAGCACCAGATTTTCAGCATGAGTCACCACAGGAGGAAGGTTTCAGATTCAACCAGACTCTGGCCCGTAGTCAGAGGAGAGATGCGGCGTGCCGAGGTATTCGTGTGTGGAGAAACAGGCACACGGGCTTCAAGAGCAGCAGTAGCTGACTATGCCGATCTTCCTCGAAGGAGTAAAGGTAAGTGTCATTCAACCCCACAGTGCTGGGGAGGCTCCATCCACAGGGTGAGGGCTTGGAGAGGTGGCCATGACGTCTTCAGGGATGCTGCCCTGCTTGCCAGGTCAGAGACACAAAGATTAGCACCTGCTAGTACCTGGGATGTAAAAAATCTCAGAACATCAGAGCCAGAGAGGAACCCTCTTTCTGCAGAAGGGGAGACCGAATGCTTTGCCAAAGTCACACCAGAAGGAAGGAGTGGAACAGAGCTAGGAGCTAGGACCTGGGCCCAGCTCCCCCGCCCTTGGCTTTAGGCAGCCATGGAGATGGCCCATGTTGCCAAGACCTTTGGGACTAGCCTTCAGAAAGTCTCTCCCGAGACCAGCCTGAGGATGGCATTATACAGAAGGTAAGCCAACCTAGTGAGAGGCGCCATAAGCTATAGCCATGTAGCCAGGGAGGCCTCATACATCCTTAGTGCTGCCCAAGAGAGGAAGGGAGGGCTTCTTGTAGGCAATCCCATAGAAAGCCAGGCCGCAGCCTGGGCAGGTGAAGAGCCCAGAAGCTCAGCCAGGAACACACCTGCAGCGGCCAAAGATGGCATCCCATAGGCGTTATAGAGCAGATCAAGAAGCTGCTTCTTCTCATCTTCCGGGAGGAAACTGGACTTCGCCGCATTGATGTTCTAGAAGGGCCAGAATGGCAGAAAACATGAAACCAGAGAGCATGGAAGGAAGCCCTTGGCAATCTAGTGATGAGCCATCCTCTTCAATGAGCATGGGCAATGATTACCCTCACAGTGGGGAAGGACGTGTCCCATGTCACATGGCAGCAAGTGCCAGAGGAGAGACCATGAGGTTCAGTGTTCTTAAAGTGCCACTACGTGACACGGTGATGGCAGGAGGAAGATGGAGAAACTGGAGACCGGGTCGGGTATGTGGGGCTGGAGAGAGATTCCTGCAGGGACAGATTTGGGGTATCACAACCCCTAAAATTAAGGGCTCGGCCTGGGATCTATGAATGGCCTGAAAAGTGTGTGAAGAATTTTATAGCTGAGCACACATTTCTGGGAAGAGAGTTGACAGCTTTTAACGGATTCTTTGCAGGCACTCGACCCAAGCAAAGGCTGAAAAACCTGGTCGTAGATCAGTGTGCCAGCTCGAGATCTTGTCCATAGAAGGCACCTAACTCCTCTAGGTCTGGCTTGGCCTGGTGAGGCAAATGCCTCATCACCAGAGGTCCTGGGCCCTGGCCAAGACCTGCAGGCCTCACACACTCCCAAGGCCGAGAGTCAAGGCCACCAGGACTCACACCCACTCACCAGTCTCTTGAACTCCTCTTCGGTAAAGTCCATGTGCTGTTTGGTCATCTGGTAATCCGTTTCCAGGGTGGACTTGAAGATGAGTGGGTCATCTGTGTTGAGTGAGTAGTTAGCCCGGTCGTGTTTGAACCTGCATACAGGGGTGAGGTGAGGAGGGAAGAGCCTCCTGTACTCTTACGTGAACAGTCCCCTTCGACCTGGAAGAGCTGCTCCCCGTATGGGGGAAGGAAATTCAGAGAACTCGGGTGACCTGCACGATGCCACGGAACTAGCATCTGCAGACCCGCACCCATCCGAGCGGGCCAGAGTCGGGCAAAGGCAGAAGAGGACCAGGTAGAGTGGGGGTCAGGGGAGGCCAAACAAGCAGCACCCCCTCCAGCCACCACCCTCTCTAGCTTTCGCCTTCCTAGCCAACATTCTGGGAGAGTCGTCTGTACCCCTTTCACCTCGATCCCACTAGGATCGACTCTTCAACCACTGGCCCATGGAAAGGGCTCCTGGCCCTGTCCCAGGTCACTGTCTTCTTACACCCAGGAGGGCTTCCCTGGCTCTTTACTCAACTTGTGTACAATTTTACACTGTTGACTGTTCTTAAAATCCTTTCCCTTGATTTCTCGGACCAGCCTCTGCTGTCTGTCCTCTAGTGTCACTGTCCCAGGTTCTCTCCTAGGCCCCATCGCTCCATCTCCTGAGGCTGGCCCTTCTCCAGCCACCGAATCTACGTAGCTGATGCATGAATCTTTCTCCAGCCCACAGGCTGTGTACCCATGTGCCTCCAAGAACCTCCACTCGGACACTCTGCAGGTACCACACACTCCACCGGCCCGAAGCAGCCCTCAGGACCCCCTCGTAATGAGAACATCAGAGCCTAAGCTCCTGCTGTTGAGCTTGGCCTGACCGCGGTCGCCCCAAGTTCTTGCCATCTTATCCTGTGTCAGGAAAAGGCGGCTTTGCCCTCCTGAGGCCTGATGCCACTCCCAGGGCTCAGGCACAGGACCGCCGGAAGAAGGGCCAAGGCCTCTAGTTAGATGGTGGGTTGGGAGCAGGTGGAGCACCCACAGGTGCCGGGAGAAGGGACCACGTGAGCCGGAGAGACTCATCTTCCGGACGTCCAGAGTCTAGAGTGTGGGAGCCCCCCTCCCCCCAGGGCAGCAGGGCACTCTGCGATGTCTGCTACAGTGAGAGGGCCCTCAGTTCTGCTATTTAGGACCCGGGCTACCTCAGTCATGTCACAGCACCCCGAGCTTTGGCCTCCCCTCGTGTGTAAGATGAAGACAGCAACGCTGCTTCCCAAGGACTCGAAGAGATGTCCTAGCAAGAAGGCCCCCCCTGGGCTAGTGCCCAGTCCCTCCACTTCCCTCCCATGCTTGGCCTTCCTGGTACAAAGCTGAATGGGCCCCAGGGACCGGGCCTCACCGAACCACCGCGTGCTCCGTGTCCCACTTCCAGGCGCCTGTGAGGTAGCTGGACCAGGGGCAAACCTGGAACAGCAGGTGGGTGGTTGGCCCACGTGCACCCCCCCTCCCCAGGCCACGCTGCCCCCTCCCTGTCCCCCCCGGGCCAGAGCCACAGTGGCCTCCCAGCTGCCACGCTGGCCCGGCTCCTGGGGCCCTCCTGGCTCTCCACCTCTGTCCTCCCACCCCCTGGCTACTCGCCTCGAAGTGCATGTTTTCCCGCCGCAGCCTGGCGTAAAGGGTCTCGTCCTCCAGCGTGTGGTAGCCATGTCCCAGCCTCTCCGTCTTGAGCGTGTCCACAGCCTGCGGAGAAGTGGAGTGGAGCCCAGTACAAGGTGGGGAGGAAGCAGGGAGAAGGGCCCCACACCAGCCCGGCCTCCTCACCTCTCTCACCACCTCGGCGGAGCCCACCTCCCCTGCATGGACAGTGCGGTGAATGCCACTCCTCACAGCCTCCTGAAAGGGCGAGAGTCAGTCATGGGCGGCCTGGGGGAGGGCCCCAGCAGGCCCGGCCTTCACCACACTTTGGGTCCAAGTTTTGGCAGACTTGAACCATGCCCTTCTTCAGTCAGCTGGCCTGTTTCAAGATGGGGAAGTCGGGGGTTTTGTTTGTGTAATCCTAATTTAAGTGGTAGCTACATTTATTAGACAGTTGTTATGTGTCAGTCACCGTATGAAAGTGCTTGTATACGTTACCTAAGATCCACAAATATTCTAATACCTGTTTTACAATCGGAGAAACAGGCCCAGGAAAGTAACAGGACAATGGTCAAACAGCTGGGAAGAGGGGAGCCAAGCTCTGAATCAGGGCAGTGAGACTCCAGAGCCCCAGCCCTAAAGCCCGAGCTCCAGCCACGGGGAATGAGTGCGTGGTGAGGCTCTGAACATCTGCTCGGACTCCGTCATCCCCACAGAGGAAACTGAAGCCCCGAGAAGGGACAGTCTCACCCAAGGTCACGCAAGTTACAGGCAGAAACAGGCTCACACACACGAGTCCCCACACCAAGTGGGATCTTCTGTTTATCCCAAATTCCCAATTTCTAGCACCCCCAAGACCCAACTAAGGTGCACTTGAGAACGGAGGCGGCCCCACCCTCCCCTGTGACCGTTCCCTCCACAGTGGAAACGAGCTCCTGCGGCCCACCCGGCACCAGCCCCTCCCCACGTCCTTCGCACGGGACCTACCTCGAAGGCCTTCACGTGTCCTGGGAAGAGGCTGCTCCCTTTGATGTTCTCATCTCCAGCCAGGTCCATGGCCACCACAGTCTGGTGCTGGTACTTCTTACACATCTCCACCACCTCCAGGGACCAGTCTGTGGGCAACATGCCCACCCGGCCTCTGTTGACAGCACCGAGGAGAGAGGTCCCTCCTGCTCACTGTCCCCCGACCTGAGGCCAGCGCAAGGCGGAGGGCCCAGGTCTTGTCTTCCCCTCCTCGCTGCCACGGCCTAAGCACAGGGCCTTCAGCAAACTGCTCCACCCAGGGCCTCAGTTTCCTCTCCCCTCAGAGCGGATGCCCCCCGCCACCGCACAGGCCCGTGGCAAGGCCCTGCGTGGAAAGCACCGAGGGCAGGGCCTGGCTGGGTCAACAACAAATGGCTGTGTCCTCATTTGACCCCCACTACAGGCCTCAAGGGGGGCATAACCCACTTAGCAGATGAGGAGATGGAGGCCCCTGAGGTTTCACACTGAAGCCCAGAATAGCACTCACGCTATGGTACTGAACGTATTGCTAACTTACTCTGTCCTCTTAACTAACCAAGTCATCATGAACGGTTTAAAAATGAACAGTCGCAGGCTTTGGAAGCAGAGGGCCGCGTGTGAACACGCGGGCTCTACGCCTTCCTGAGGAGCATGAGGCCGCACCTCTCTCAGCCTCAGCTCCCCCATCCAGCAGAGGAGGCTCAGGAATGGCAGTCCTGCCTCACAGGCTGCCACAAGGATCAGAGGAGACCCACGCAAGCCACTCTCCACAGGCAGGCCCCCTAGGTGGGCGTGAATCCTTTGGTTCGCACTGCCCCCTAGAGCAGAGACAGCAAAGTACCATCACCGCCCGTGACAATGTGTATCTGCGGTCTGAGGAGGTGAAGGGACTTGTCCAAAGTCACACAGTGGGGCTCTGCACGCCTTGGAAGCTCGAGCTCTGGACATCTGATCAGTCACGAGGGAGACCGTTGGAAGCCCCAGAGATCAGACCTATTCCCAAGGCCTTGGCCCAGACAGGAAGAGGGCTGGCCCACAGGGTCTCAAGGGAGGACTGTGGGTTCATCAGAACCTGGCTTAGATGGTTTTTTTTCTATTCAGGTTCCTTTGGTTTTATGCTTTCTGCATGCAGGACACATGGCTGTCAGGCCTGGTCTCCCTGGGGAGAAGGGTCTCTCTACTGCCAGGAGTTCTGAGCCTGCCCAGGGTAGGCACCAATGACTTCAGGAAGCCCCAAGGTCCTGCTGATGGGTTCCACCAATACCATGGGGTTTGGGGCATGGGGAGACTAGGTGTGGCTCCAGTGCCAAGCTGGGAGGCAGGGGCCAGTGTCAGAGGGGCAGCCTGGGGCAGGGCTGAGGGCATACTCACTGGGCTGGTGGCGCATGCAGCACAGGATGGACCGCACCTTCACCCCAAAGTCTTGCTCTCCCTTCTGCAGGCCCTGGCTCACCAGAGCTACCACCTCATCCGGGGTGAGGTCCCCTCTGTGTGGGGAGAGGAGTAGAGATGGGCCAGAGATAAAGGAAGGTCTAAAGGACAGCCCCGGGACTGGGACATGCTGGGGGGGAGGGGTGGGGAGGGAAGAGAAAGAATCTTCAAGCAGCAGCTCCAGCCCCTACTACCCCACCGCCTCTGGGGAAAGACATGGCCCCAAGCCCTGGCACACACCCCCTTCCAGCTTGCTTGGGCACTTCCAGACTGGAAGGTGTGTTGGGGTGGGGAGTTCAGACACAGCCCCCCCGACGGATGGAGGGCGCTGCTAAGCCCGCCTGGTCTGATTCCCCTGCATCCACAGCTATCAGCGTCCTAACTGGAAGGGGGCAAGGGAGTTGGCGGATACCACTTAGAGATCTCTGGGGTCCAGGCAGAGGGGCAGGAATGGGCCACACTTCAGTTACAGGGTTAGAACGGGACACCTAGAAGTCCCTAGACAAGGGGGTTCATGTTCCTAGACTGTGGGCCTGTGTCCAGGATGGGGGGTGAGGGGGAGGTGTAAGACATAGCCAGATACTTTTACCAAAGGTTAAAAAAAAAAAAAAAAATTAAAAAAATAAGCCCAGGTGACGGCTGGGAACCATGTCTCTTGTGACAGAGTCAAACCCATCTTTCTGAGGCCATGGACAGGACCAGGGAGCAAGATTAGGTTGGGGGCTCCCAACAGTCTACCCCTTGGGTCCCAGGTTCAGCCACCCCACCAGGCATCACTCACTCGGCCTGGTTCCAGGGGATCGGTTCCACTTTGGAGTTGGCCAGCAGGTGTGGGCTGTAGCGCACCTCCACATATACCACATCCTCCTTGGCCTTCATCTCGACGAATTCATAGGCAATCCTTTCAATGGCCTCCCGGCAGCCCCTGGGAAGGGAAGAGAGGGGTTGGGGACAACCTTCCCCAAGTCTCTCCAGAGCTCCAGGAGCAACAAGGCTGTTCCCAACCCGTGGCAGATCAAACCCACTTCTGGCCCCCAGCCCCAAGTTCTGGGTATCTGCTGGAGAAGATCCTAGAAGCATGGCAGGTCCTGTCAGCTCTACCTCTAAACTATACGCCAATTCTTGTCCCCTCCACCCAGGTTCTAAGTACCTCCTAAACAGACCTCCGTGTCTACACACTCGCCCCTACAGCTCTGTTTTCCACACAGCAGCTAGAGCAATCTTTTTTTTTTTTTTTTTAAGATTTTTATTTCACAGAGAGCAGGAGAGCACAAGCAGGGGGAGCAGCAGAGGGAGAGGGAGAAACAGGCTCCCCACTGAGCAGGGAGCCCGACATGGGGCTCGATCCCAGGACCCTGGGATCACAACCCGAGCCGAAGGCGACACCGACTGAGCCACCTGGGTGCCCCTAGAGCAATCTTTTTAAAATGTGAAGCAAACCACAGTGGTCCTCCACCCTGAATCCTCGTGGCTTCCTACTGCGTAGAATGAAATCTCAATTCCATGGCCCAGCCCACAAGGCCTGTAGACTCTGGCCCCCGTCACTCTCCCCAGACCTTCCCCTTCTCCCTCATTCCATGAGGCCACCAGAGCCTTCTTTCTGTCCAAGGAACAGTCAAGTTTGTTCCCAGGTCAGGGCCTTTGTATTTGCAGCTCCCCCAGCCCACATGGCTCTTCCCTTGGATCGTCCTATGCTCCTTCTCTCCATTTAAATCCAGCTCCAGCCTTGCCTCCTCAGAGAGCACTTCCCTGACCACCTTGCCTTAAAAGGGTTTCTCTGCCATTCTCTACCTGTTCCCCTGGGCTTTACCACCGTGGCCCATACCCCCACTTGGCCTTATTATCGCATGGCTTACCAATTTTCATCTCTCCTACTAGAATGTAGTCTCCATGAGACAAGGGTCCTGACATCAGTCTTGTCATGGCTAGGAGGGCCCTCAGCCCAGGACGGAGCCTGGGATGTGGCAGCCACTCAAATGTTGGGGAGAGAAATACAAGAACGCAGGCAACAAACACAAAGATAAGTGGGACTGCATCAGACACAAAAGCACATACGGCAAGGGGAATCTTCAACAGAGTGAAAAGGCAACCTTACAGAGTGGGAGAAAATATCTGCAAATCCTATCCGATGAGGGGCTAAGATCAAAGCGTATGAGGAAACTCTACCCCTCAGTAGCAAAAACACCAAATAATTGGATTAAAAAATGGACAAAGGACCCGAATAAACATTTCTCAAAAGACATACAAATGGCCAAAGTTTTATGGAACGGTGCATTTCCCTGGTGATTAGTATCCCTAATCACCAGGGAAATGCAAATCGGAACCACGAGGACAGATCACCTCACACCTGTTAAGGTGGCTACAATCACCAAGTGTTGGCGAGCACGCCAAGAACAGGGCCCCCTGTGCGCTGTTGGCAGGAATGCAAATTGGTGCAACCACCGCAAAGAACGGTGTGAAGGCGCCTCAAGAAATGTTTTAAAAAGTTACCATATGATCCAGCAATCCTACTTCCAGATCTTTATCCAAAGTCAATGAAGTCAGTATCTCATATCTGCACCACGATGTTCACTGCAGCATTATTTACAAGAGCCAAGACATGGTTACAACCTAAAGGTCCACTGATGGACGAATGGATAAAGAAAATGTCACACACACACACATCATTCAGGCTTAAGGTAATTCTGCCATTTGCAACATGGATGAACCTGGAGGCCGTTACGCTAAGTGAAATAAGCCAGATGCAGAAAAACAAATACTGTTGGGTGCCTGGGTGGCTCAGTTGGTTAAGAGACTACCTTCGGCTCAGGTCATGATCCTGGAGTCCCAGGATCGAGTCCCACATCGGGCTCCCTGCTCAGCGGGGAGTCTGCTTCTCCCTCTGACCCTCCCCCCTCTCATGTGCTCTCTCTCTCTCATTCTAATAAAATCTTTAAAAAAAAGAAAAACAAATACTGCACAATCTCACTTGCATGTGGAATCTAAAATAGTCAAATTCATAAAAGCAGAAAGTAGAACAATAGCTGTCGGGCAGGTTGAGCGGGGAAGGGGGAAATGGGAGATGTCGGTCAAAAGGTACAGAGTTTCAGCTCTGTAAGAGTTCAGTTCTGGAGAACGAATGCTCGGCATGGCGACCATAGTTAACAATACTGTAGCATATACTTGAGACTTGCTAGGAGGGTAGATCTTAAGTGTTCTCACCACACACACACACACACACACACACACACACACACACACACAGCAAAAGGTAACTATCTGCAGTGATGGATATGTTGACTGTGGTGATCATTTCACAATATATATGTAGTTCAAAACACCTTAAGCACATATAATTTCTACTTATCAATTATACCCCAATAAAACTAAAAGTTAGAGGGAAGGACACAGACAGACAAATCCAGAGGGTACCCTGGGATGGGGGAGAAACCCGGGACTCCTGAATCCTGGTTCCCACACTTAACTGTTGCAGGACTCTGGTTAAGTCACCCTGACACCTACATCCAACATTACTGTGAGGACAAAGATGTTAAACTTCATAAAGCTCACCTAGGCCAGTGCTGAGTAGGACAGACAGATCCTTGAAGTATTTTAGTTGTTGAGTGTTGGCTCTAGAAGCAAGGCACACATTAACCTGCCAGGGCCACACTAAGTGGTGATCAAGTGACAGTGAGCTGGGCCTAGCTGGAAGTTTCCACCATGAAGACTGAACACAGAATGGTCACCAGAATGCAGGATGTGCGAGCGAAGGGCCTTGGGGAAACTGGCCACGCCCAGAAGGGTCACTGGACAGACCATGCTTTTGAGGATAAGGATGGGCGGCTGTGGCCTTCCCTGGCCGGCAAGGGCAGGGCCTGGATCTGGGACCTCGGACCTGCTGCAGGGGAGCTGGCCTCCCAGGAAGAGGGTGCCCGATCTCCCCCACAGCGGTGGCACGCATTCATTGCACACTGTGACCAGCACTGGGATTATAGCAAACAAGGTAGACAAAATCCTTGTCCTCATGGAGCCTACAGTTTAGCAGGAGAGACAGGTAAGTAAGTGAAACATACAATCTACAGTAGGTTAGGTGGTGAAATGGCCTATGGATACATATGAAACAGGGGAGGAGAATACGATTCTCCGTGGTACAGTCAGGGAAGGCTTCACTGAAAAAGTAGCACTTGAGCAGACCTGAGAAGGAGGCAAGGAAGCTAGCTACAGGGCATCAATGGGGAACAGCATTCCAGGTGGGGGGAACAGCATTCCAGGCAGAGGGAACAGCATGCACAGAGGACCTGAGGTTGGGAATGTGTTTGTTGCCCCAGGTGCCACAGGAAGCCCGTGTGTTGGGAGAGAAGTGAGCAGAAGGGTAAGGGCAGAGGACAAGGGCTCTCCCCTGACACCTGTGGATGGTGGCAAGGGCGTAGTATGGACATTAGTCTTATGGGCCATAGCCCCAAAGGCCAAGCAACTCAGAAGGAGATGATGCCAAACAGCCTGGTCATCTTGGACCTTCAGGGAGCTGGGCATCTTCTGTCTTGTGGCCAGGGGGACAGGAGCTGCCTGGGGGGGGACAGGGGAGAGGTGCCTTGGCCTGTACAGGAGCTCCACTCGTGTGTTTATTCTGGTGTGGGGTTGTCGGGGGAGATAGGACAAGTGCCTCCAGGGAGGCGTGCGTGCGTGCGTGTGCACGTGTGTGTGTCTCAGTGCCTCTGCTTACCAGGGCCAGGGATGGGGACGGTCGGTGTTTTCCAGGCTGAGTCCAAAAGCTTCCGGCAAGCAGCCTTGGCACACATCTTCCTTCCCCAGAACTCCCCCTACCTGTCCTGCCACTTGTCCAGCCAAGGGCCTCCATGTGCCTCCCAGACCTTCTTCACTGGTCCTCCAACAACCCAAACCCAGCACATGCCCCAAACCTTTCCTCCGGTCTAGCCCTCTAGACAACATCTACACCTTCTCTATCCCCAAGCCTGCGCCTTGCTTCCTCCTCCAGGCAGCTTTCCCTAACTGCCCCCCACCCATTTGCCCCTTCCCCTTCCTGAGCTCTGGCAGCAGACTGCAGAGGCCTGCCTCTCACCTGCCCTGGGGAACCCTGCCTCGTGCCAGGAAGCTCAAGGTGGCCTCAGGGTGGGATCTGGGCTTCACCTCTGCCAGCTCTGTGGTCCCGGGCAAGCTCCTACGCTCCCCTGAGACTTCGTTTCGTCCTCTGCAAATGGGGAGTGTGTCTGCCTAGCAGGACCGCCGGCAACTACAAAAAGTATTGTTCTGAGAGCTGCCCACGCACTCTCCCAGATCTAAGATACTCTGCTGTGGAAGAGGGAGGGACAGAAGGGGATATAAAACTGCTGTGCCTGGCGATCCAGAAACGTAGCAACTGTCTTCACTGTAAGAGGGAGCTCGCTGAGGACAGCGCTGTGACCATTCCAAACTCCAGCCCCAGGAGGTGGGTAGGATCACAAGCCCCATTGTCGGGATGAGGGAACAGAGGCCCAGAGAGGGTAAATTTTCCCAAGGTCACAGTTATTTCATGAAAGAATCGGGCCCTAGGATGTGGGCTCTTGACCTCACACTCTCACTCTCCTGTAGAAGTTGAAGAAATTTCTAGACATTATACCATACCCACTTTCCAGACGGGAAAGTCAAGGCCCAAAAGGTGTGGAGAGTGTCACACAAGCACCCACAAGATGAGCCGCAGAAGGGCAGGTGGTGCGCACAGGTACGGTGCCGCCCGGGGCCTGGGTGGGGGGCTGACTCACGCGATGGCGGGCATGTAGTAGTCAAACTTGGCCAGGAAGCCTGAGAGGCTGAGCGGCTTGTCCATGCCGATGATGTCCTGCAGCTCCCCTGGGGTCTCAGCCGGGAGGGCAATCCCCCTCTTCCTGGGAACCAAACAGGGAGGCCGGTGGGCTACTTCTGCGCCAGCCCCCAACGAGCTCCCCCCAGGGACTGGGGCGGGAAACCCGGGGACCTCTTCCTCCCACTGAACAGATGGGAAAACGGAGGCCTGAGGCATATAGAACCCGGGCTGGAATCCATCACCGCCCCCCCCCGCCCCGTCCCCGAGGCCGTGACCAGCCAGGGAACCTCAAGGGAGATAAGTGGGGCTCGAGTCTGTACACACATGGACACGTGCACACACACGCGCACACACACCCCAGCGTCCGGGAACAGGGAAGCTGCCTGGGCAAGCCCACAGTTTGCTTCCTCCTCGGCCCCGGAGCGGGTAGAGCCAGCTGGTCGTCTGCCAGCTCAGGGGTTATCAGCACCCTAACGGCAGCAGCACAATGGCCGGGCCGGAGGCAGGCGCCGGACTTCTGGCCTCCACCCTTCAGCCTCCACGTGGCCGGCGCAGCAGAGAGGACTGTGGCCCCACGCGCTGGGAGAGGGTCCGGCGGGGGGCTCGCGGGCCACCCGCCTCAGGGTCATCTCCCCTGTCCCCCCACAGCACCACCACCCCCTCCGTACGGGGCTGACCCAGAACCTCCCCCACCCCAGCCAGAGCCGCCTCCTCCCCACCACAAGCCCCAGGTCACCCCGGCCTCAGTTTCCCCACTCTGAAGAGAAAAGGGGCAAAGAACACCAGACATCCAAGAAACGCTTCCACCATGAGGGACGAAACAGGAGGCAAAGGGGACTCTGAAGAAACAATGCAGAGAACAGAAGCAAACCGAAAAGCCCTACGGTGGGGCGCCTCCGGCACAGGAGAGCTTCTGGGCGGGAAACAGAGCATCCCTTTCAGAAAGGGGACCCGGAGAGTAAGGAAGGGCTCCTGCAAACCTAAACGAATATGGGGCCAATCATCAGGACGTGATAAAGTGAATGGAAAATACAGCAGAGAAACAACTCCAGCAAGTAGAAGATAAAAAAGAGGAGCCAATGATTTCGGAAATGAGGTGATTCAATCAGGTTCAAGCATCGGGTTATCCGCAAAGAACAGAGGATGGAAGGGGGTTTGCCAGACACACGGAAGCTTGACCGAACAGTGTCTAAGTCTCCAAGGACCTCAGTCCCTAAAATACTACGATGTTTCCCAACATAAACCCCTGTCCCCGGAACCCCCGACACAGGCCCTCCTCCCCTGCTGGTGGCCCCAGGCCCTAGCAGCGCCCCTAGCCCTGCAGGACATGGTGGGGGAGAGGACACCCCTGGGGCGGTCCTTGCTCGGAGGGCAGTGCTCCGTGCCCCTGGAGCCTTCCCCTCAGGAGGCCACATCCCCCGTGACCATGGCCCTGCAGAGCCCGTACCGGTGACGTGCTGGGTTCTGGAGAACTTTCTGGGAGCCGGTGGTGGAAGCAGAGGAAGGCTCTGGTGCTCACATGGTCAGATGCAGTGGCCACACTGCTTGGGCCTGCTGGCCCCGCTATGTGCGAGGCTCCGGACGGTCTTCCTCCGGCTCCCTCGACCACCGCTTCCTCCTGACCATTCTTGCAGACCCTCCCTTTTACACCCCTGCCCACATGAACTCCTCCCCTCTCGTGGTTTTCAGCCCAAGATCCAGAGGTCTCTACCTCTCACACCACCGCTTGAGGGCTTACAATGTCCCGGGCACTGGACAGATGGCAGTGACCAAGACAGAACCAGGCATCTGACCCCCCCACCTCCTGCCACCTCTCCCCTCCTTGCCCCATGCTTCCAAATATAGCTCCACGCCACCACCACCGCCCAGCTGCCCAACCTGTGGCAGGGGCCTCCCCAGGGCTCCATCTGCCTTGCCCACCAGCCAGTCAAGTCTCACTTATTTTACTTCCTAAAGGTCTGTCCCATTAGTCCCACCCTCTCCAGCCTCTCTCCTCGTCAGCCACCAAGAGATCCTTGGCCACACAGAGTGCTCTGGGAAGGCCGGTCAGAGGGGACACTTAGAATTAAAAGAGGAGAAGGAAGGAACAGAAAGGGCTCCAGGCGGAAGCCAGGACAGAAGGTGAGGGCAGGGCACCTGGAGTTCAGAGTGGGGTCAGTGGTAGGTGATGAGCTAGAGGGTAGGCAGAGCCCAGTGGAAGCTTCGTAGGAGTTGGGGCCTTATCCCCAAAGCTCCAGGAAACCACTGAAGGATTTCAAGCAGGGGAGTGGCATGAAGAGATTTAAGAGCTCCTGGCTATCAGATCTGAGAGCTACTGCAGGAGTCCCAGCAGGAAACAAACAGTGTGAGACACTCTTCGGGATCTCACATAGGATTGGGCCTCCAGAAGCTGCTCAGACCAAGCTGAGGCAAGGAGGAGTTATTCCTAGGGCCCTGAGTCCTCCTGCCACACAGGAGGCTCCCCCTGGGACCGAGCTTGGTCGTCAGATGCTCCCTATACACCCCTGTCAGCCAGGCCTTGGCCAGCCCTCTTCCTGCCATGGTCGGAGACATGTCTGCAAGGAGCCTGGCCACAGAGAGCCCAGCAAGGAGGAAAAGCTCAGGCTCTGGAGTTTGAAGTCCATCCCCCTGCGGTACATGCCAGAACACTCAGGGGAGGAGCCGTCCCATCTGAGGACCTCCACATCCTTGTCAGTAATACAGATGGCACTTTCGTGGCTGCGTACAGAGAAAAATAAGGTGGTTTATGTGTCCAGGGTCAGACAGCAAACTCCAAAGCCTGATGGACTGGTTCTGAATCCCAGCTGTGTTCCTTAAAGGCTGCGTGACCTTGGGAGAGTTATTCAACCTGTGTTTACCAGGTCCTGCAGGTGTGAGAAACCTTAGCATGGACTAAGGAGGAGAGGTCAGAGAGGAAACACCGGCTTTGTGGGTCCTTAAGGGCCACGAACGGACTTTGGCTTTGACACTGAGCAAGCTGGGAGTGTGGGAGGATTTGAGCTGGGGAGGGACTGGTCAGACTAGGTTTTTTTTTTTTTTTAGACTAGGTTTTAAGACCGGTGTTCTAGGGACGCCTGGGTGGCTCAGTCGGTTAAGCCACTGCCTTCAGCCTGGGTCGTGATCCCAAGGTCCCGGGATCGAGCCCCACATCGGGCTCCTTGCTCAGCAGGGAGCCTGCTTCTCCATCTCCTCCCCACTCATGCTCTCTCTCGCTGTCTCCAATAAATAAAATCTTTAAAAAAAAAAAAAAAAAAAGAGTGGTGTTCTGACTACAGTACTGTGGGGACAGGAGACGGGGGAGGCCAGAGTGGCTACCCAGAGGCCAGTCAGGAAGCCGTTGCCATAGTCCAGATGAGGGATGCTGGTGGCTCAGGCCAGGCTGGTGAAGGGAGGAGAGCGGGGTCAGGTTCAGAACGTGCTGTGGCAGAAGAGTGGACAGGCTCATGAAGGAGATGGAGAGAGCGGTAGAAGGCCCAGAGAGGACAGAATCATAGGAACTTAGGGAAGAAGTGGGTAAGAACACAGTCAGCGGAGGCCCAAATCACAGAGGCATTAGAGGGGCCACTAGATTTGGCCAGAGGGAGAAAGGGGCTTCCTTCCTTCTCTCAGCCCACCACCACCACCAGGAAGTCCTCCAGTGTGTTTATGGGCATCCATAGCCAAGTCTGACCAGGTCCCCTGCCTGCTGACCTCGAGCTCAGACTCGAGCTGGTACCCATAACACCCCTGCCCAATGGGCCCACCGAGGCACCTGGACTGCTCCCGAGATGCCAAGGTGATGGGGAAACAGAAGATCCGACCAGCCTCCCCCCAGGGGCGGTTCCCCTCCCTCCTCTCTCCACCCTGCCCCCAACTCCTGCCTTCTTGCTCCACTACTAAGTGCTCTCTGACCCCTTAACGAGCACCCAAGAGGAGATCTCATCGTGGTGCCTGATAACCCACCCTAACAGCCTCACTGGGGACGCTGGGGCAGTGACTGGCACTCGGCACGGGCAAAGGACAAGCAGAGATAAAGCCAAACAGCTTCACCCTGCCTAGCCAGAGCTTATTAATACCATCAATAAGTGCCCTTGAGGACACTGCGCTTAGCCCTGAGCTAAGTGGTTTCCGTGCACGGCTCCACCAAGCCTCTCGCTGGCAGGAGTAATGTTCAGGGGTGTGGACTCGGGGTCACACCCGTGCTTACTACCTAAGTCCCCTCACCCATCACGGCTCAGTGTCCTCCTCCAGAAAATGGGGGCCACAACACTACCACCCCTTAAGTTGTCCTGAGGATTCAGTACATCAGCCCCGATGCAGTGCCTCGTGGTGCACGGTACATGCTAACAAACGATGTCGGAGAATCAAGAATTAGATCAGTAGCAACTTCCTAGGGCAGAGGGAGGTCTGTGGAAGTAGGACGAAGCGGAGAAAAGTGTTCTTGCCAGAGCTCTCTCTAGGAAGAGATGCTCCCGAGAACCGGGGACAGACTCCCCAGCCTCACCAGCTCTCCGAAGCAGCGGCGTCTGGAGAACTCGGGGGACTGGGGCTTACCGAGCAGAGGGCGCACGGTTGGGCCTGGAGCGGAAGTGCTCCCGGCAGTGAGCGAGGCGAACTCCTTCCCGCTCCCAGTGAAATGAGTGTCCAGCAAACACGTGACGAGCACAGTCTGTGGAAGGAGAGGTGGGTGGCAGCAGAGGCCCCCGTCTCCTAGGTCAGCTCTGGACGGAGGCCCTGTTTTCCCCAGCAAGCTAGAGGCCAAGGTCGCAGCTAGGAAACGGTATGCCCATATTTGAATCCAGACCCACTGTACTCTAAAGTCCCTGCTCTTATGCACTGGACCCGAGAGAGGGGCCACCGTGAGCCCCCGAGGTGGGGAGAGAGGGGTAGGCCTCCCTCACTGGGCGGCACTGGTGACCCTTGGACCCAGCAGGCAGGAGGCATATTCTTACTTGGTTGATGAAGACGGGCCGCCAGAGGAGGGGCCCCCTGTTCACATTCCCCAGTAGGCGATTGCCCTGGGGACACAGGGAAAGCCTTGGAGAGGAGATGGCCCTGGGTCAACTCTAGGCTCTGTTGATTGTCATGTGGCCTCAGGCAAACTGCCTTTGTTTTTCTGAGCCCCCAGCTCTACTCAGTGAGGTGGGGATAGCCGTGCCCTCCTCCTCTGAGGAGGGGTTAAATTTGCTGACTCCAGGAGAGCACTCAGCCCTGCACCAGAGATGCTCAGCAAATGGTCCCGGCATCCCGCGCAGGGGCATCACCTCTGCCACAGGCTCTCTGCGGAGTCAAAACACGATGACTGGTTCCACCCTGCGAACTGCCTCCTCCCGTGCGTGTGCGCATGCGCCTGCATGTAAGGTGGGGCAAGTTCCTCCTGGCTCACTTGGCAGCATGACAAGAGTCAGAAGCACAGAAAGCAGCAGACTTGGGCTGTGGGTCTGTGGCTCAGAGCTGAGGGGCTGCCATTTCTCCACAGACCACCTTCTTCTGGCCAGGGGGCCGGCTTCCTTCCATGGGCATACAGGAAGGAACAACAACCCTGGAATTCTCCAGAGGCCTCTGGGTTGAGCCGTGGACCCCCCCACATGTCCCCAAATGCTGGGGAGGAAGGTCTCTTCTCTGTGGACTTACCTGCCATAGTATAAGATGGTTTCAGGCTTGATGGCCCCATCTAGATGGACATGCAGTTCCACCTGCAAGGGGGCAGAGAGAGGAAACAAGGGGTGGGGCGGTGGGTAGAGAACAAACACCCATGAATGTCGGAAGGACCGTGATAACCATTAGTCCCACTGACTGGACACCTGCCACGGACACTCCACTAAGTTCTTTATACACACCACCTTGTTTCCTCCTCATCTGGTGGTGGTGGGGTGGATTTAACAGTCATCTCTAGCTCTTTCACGGTTAAGACCACAGAGGCTCAACCACAGCTGAGTTTCAGGGAGGTTAAGTAAGTTGTCCGAGTGCGCACAGCAAGCCATAGAGGCAGGAACCCAACGCAGTACCTCTGTTCTTAACCGCAGCTGGTAAATGGCAGAACAAGAATTCTAGCCCAAGCCCAAAGCCAGTGGTCTTAAACACAAGGCCAGCCACGGCGCCACCATGTTGGCAGAGTCCACTCTCTGCCAACTCACTAAACAAAACCCAACTTAACAAAAAGTGTTGACCACAGACTTCCTGGGCCCGTGACTATCCCACAGTGGGTTTCAAAAACCCAGGCTCCATTTTCAAAAGCAGGTGTTAGTTAAGCACAGTTCTCAGGAATCAATAGGAGGCAACACAAGATCTTTCTAGTACTTCAGAAAGGGTACTGGATACTCAGTCATCTGGGTGATCATCTCCTACACACACGTGGCCCCATGAACATCGCTCGGCACACAAAGCCAGGAGATTAAGGACATGGGCTTTGGAGACAGCCCATCAGCTGGATTCCCAGCTCCGCCGCTTCACTGGTTGTATGATCTCAGCCAAGACACTTGATCTCTCAGACCCTCTGTTTCCTCAACTGCAAACAACTGGGTATTTCTGCCTCCCTGTCCAAGAACAACTGTAAGGATTAAAACAAACAAACAAAAAAAAAACAACCCACAGTGTAGGTAGACAAGTGGGTTTATATGAAGCAGCCTAGCCTCTCCACCAGGGCATCTCCTAGGAGCTGTTAAGCTCAACAGGTGCTGGGAGACAGGGAGAAAGGGACTTTCCCTGGGCCTGGGGGAGATCTAGAAAACTCCACTGACGTCTGCCAGGTTGGGGCCTTCCCTGGAATTTGGGGACCTGGACGAGAAAGTATCTGCCCTGACGAGGCAGGGAGCTACAGGCCCAAGGAGGCCAGCAGGCTCAGAGCTACCAAGCCTGCATCCCAGCAGGAAGTCCGAGCAACCACACCGCTCCGGAAGTCACCCAGCCTGCAAAGGACCCAGCGGCACTCACCCCAGGCTCAGAGGCAAGGGAGTTGTTGGATTCCCTAACAAAACAAGTTCAATGCCCACTTAGCCAAATGTTCATCCCGTTCTCAAAAAATGTTCAGCATCGGGAACACTGAAGCTTCCAGCCCAGGGAACTGCCAAGGAGTTGTGTGACCTTGGACAGGGGCCCTCCCCTCTCTGAGCCTGCAGAGTTTATCTTTAACCCGCACATGACAGAGGATCTGGCCAGAGAGGGAGGACACTCTGTGGTTCAATCTGGAATCCTGGCTCCTCCACTCACTCCCTGGTGGCCTGGAGAAAGCTACGTCACTTTCAGGGCCTTAGCATCCTCATCGGTCCAAGAGGGAGAAGATGCCTTCCTCCTAGGGCTTTGTGAGGCTTGACCACGTTCATGCGTGTCGTGTGCTCGCCCCATACTTAGCGCGGAGCAAATGCTAAAACGGCATCAGCGAGGAGTCCTGCGTTCACCAAACCGTCGAGGCCCTGCCCAGTGCTAGGGATGGAGAGTAAAGCTCCAGGCATCGAGTCCCGCTCCTGTGATGCTTATGGGCCAGCCAGGGAAGAGGCAGTAAGTAATGTCAGTGACAAATGTACAATCACAAGCCAAGCCAACTCCTTGAGAGGCACTGTCCTACAAAAGCAATAACAAACAAAAGACCTTACCCAGCTCAAGGGCCAACCGTGGCTTCCCGCAGAAAACAGAGCTTGAGCCAAGATCCAAAAGATGAAGAGGGACCAACCAGGAAAAGGCAGGCTGAGGAGGAAGGCAGGAAGAGCATTCCAGGCAGAGGCAACAGGACGTGCAAAGGCCATGTGGTAGGCGAGCCGGTGGTGCAGGAGAGGGCTGGAAACCCGGCTCTGAAAAGGGAGGGGTCGTGGGGCTGGACAGGCTGCAGGGCCACCCAGGCCACAAGGAGTCATTTTAACTGAGAGCACAGAGAAGCCAGGACCGGGTGTGAAGCCAGCTAGAGAGCAAGGCTGGCTCAGAGTAAGGGCAGGTGGAGGCTACTGAGGTCCAGTTTATGAGAGAGGATGGTGCTTTGGACCAGGGTGGCAAGACAGATAAGGGGGGGCGGGGGCAGAACGAGGGGTCAAGGAGGATGCCTCGGTGTAGGGATGGGTGGGTGTGGGTCGTGGTTCCCACACTCTGGACGCCATCCAGGAAGAAGCCCAAGTGCTAAGGGGGAAGGAGGGGCAGGGGTGCGGGGAGAGGGACACGGTCAGTTTGATCTTAGGGATGCTCAGCTGGGATGCCTCTGAACCGTCCCAATGTAAGTGGACAGAGCCAATGCATGGGAAGGTCTAGTGCACTCAGAGACCCTGGCTGGCAATGCAAGTAGGAATAAGGACAGCTGAAATCGAGGTCTTGAATGAGCTCGCCCAGGGAGTGGGGTCAAGGAAGGGGCAGGGGAGGAAGCCTCCAGAAGCACCAGCACCCAGTGGCTCTGCAGGAGAGGGGGACCCCAAAGAGGAGTTGCCAGAGGGGCAGGAAGCCAGGAAGGGGGGGGGTGCAGAAGGCAAGGGACGGTCAGATTGCAAGGAGCGGTGGCCCACTGGGTCAATGGGACGGTAGTCCCCCAAATAGGTCTACATCCAAATCCCCAGAACCTGTATTACCGCCCGTGGCGAGGGGTGGGGGGGAAAGGGTTTAAAGTCTTGAGGAGTTTGTCCTGGATTATCTCCTTATGAGGGAGGTAGAGTTTTGAGCGAAATTCTTCTAAAAGGCGGCAGCAACAGGACCACTGAGGCATAAGGGAGCTGTGTGGTCACGAGCCAAGCATGGCCTGGAGCCACCTGAAGCTGGAGGAGGCAACAAACGGCTCTCTCAGAGGGTGTGTGACCCTAACAACGACATCTTGACGTTGGACTTCTGACCTCCAGAATGGGAAGATTTCTGTTGTTCTAAGCTACCCAGTGTGTGTGGTAACTTGTTAGAGCAGGTACACGAAAGGAATACGGTCGGGTCCTGCCAGGTCAAGCAAGAGGAGACCAGAAACACGTCCCTGGGGCTAAGGCCACAGGGCTCAGGGGCCAGAGGAGAGGTGCTCAGCCCTGGCTGCCCGTTAGGAGCACCTGGGAAGCTTTGGAAAGTCGCCTACGCCTGGGCCCACCCTAGTCTGCGAAGTCACAGTCCTTTGGCCTGGGCCTGAGCATGGGGTTGTTGCTGGTTTTCAATACCCGAAGCCACGGTTGAGAACCACTGTCCTACAGGAAATGTTCCAGAGGCCTGAGTCCGTGCTGGAATGGGGTAAGAAATAAGTAGAGGCAATAAAATGGAGGAAGTGTAGATTCTCCTTTCCAGAATTTCACCCCTGAAGGGGAAGAGAGGGCTGGAGAAAGAACTAGAGGCAGATGGGGGTGAGGACAGTCCCTTCTTTGGGAGGTGGGAGTGACGGGGGCAGGCTGCAAGGCTGCCTGAGAGGAGGGATTGCTGGAGACGAGACAATGACGGAGGAGGGGCCGGGAGGAAGAGCGTCCAGGGGAAAGGAGGGAGGACAGAGAAGGGCAGGGGCAGAGGAATCGGAGTCAGGCAGCAGGGAGGGAACTGGCTTGATATGGAGAATGAGGTTCGTGGGGGAGAGGGGGCGCCACAGAGAGTCAGGGAGTGCCGGGGTGGGTCCACTGACGGGTTCTGGATCAGGAAGCACCGTGTAAAAGCTCTTTCTGGCTGCCATATACAAAGCAGGGGAGAGGGAAGCTGGAACAGAAGACAGAGCTGCCCGGCAGTCAGGACAAGAGGTAAGCACCCACGGGGAGTACCTGCCCGCAGCTCCGAGCGCAGGCGGTGCTCCCCAGTGCAGCAGAGCAGGGGAAGAGGGGCTCCTAGAGCCGGCCAGGATGCAGGAGGCAAGAGCACCCCTAGGGACAGCAAAAGCCTGCTGCCCCACCACGCTGGGGGTTCCTGGGAAGCTGCCTAGACACGTTTCAGGGGAGAAGCAGAGGCAGCAACCACCTCCTCAGGCAGCCCAAGCTCAGGCAGGCCTCCCATGGAACTTTCTGGAAAATAGCCACTACCCATGAAGACATCTGTCCGCATACCCCAGGTGACAATGGGGTGTAAGCTCAGAGACTTGGTGGGGACCCTGCTCCGCTGTCCCCATTCAGGGAAAAGGAACAGCAGCGTCCTCGGATTATTGAGTATCTACTATGGGCTGGACCATGTACATACATTAACTGATTTCATCCTCACAACCAGTAAGGCAGGAACTTCACTACCATTTTGCTGAGGAGAAACCTGAAAGGTCCAAGAAGGATCCAGGGACACAAAGGCAGGCAGTGATGGAGTCAGGATTTGAACCAGGGTCCAAGTCAAGAGCTTTTACTACACTTGCCCTGCGGGCCTAGCCTCAGAGAGGCTGTCATAAGCAATTCAGCAATAACAGCAGCTACCTCCTGTTATCAGGTCCTTTATCTCAATTAATCTTGACCCCTAGGCAAGGTACACATTAGCCCTGGGCGGCAGACAGGGGAAATGGTAAACTCGCAGGAGCCCGGCCACGGGCCCTATGCTGCCCAGGCTGGTAGCCGCAGATCTGGGTTAGAACCCGTCTCTCTACCTCTAAGCCCAGGGGCCACACCCCTGCCCTGTGCCCAGCCTCGTGACCTCTCTGGAAGGGAGTCTCCCCCACTCCCCTGCACTTGCTCTCCAGGAGGCTGACTCAGCAAGCCTCTGACAGAGCTGCAGGAAATCCCAGAGAGGAGTAGGAAGCATCCCCTGCGACCAAATATTTACTAAGCCCCCACTAGGTGCTGGGCCACAGTGGGGG